CGCATCATGTGACTGCTACTGAGTGATACGAAACACAGCATCATCGCGACCCCATTTACATGTCCCTGAAGGAACTTAATATTGAAAGTACAAAAATAATAATGAAAATAAAAGATTACAGTGACCACAATATCCAAAACAGAAACATGAAAGGCCATACTGTACTAATGCGACAATAAGGAATGAATATATCCAAACAATCAATAATTGAAATCATGGAACTTAAAATTAGAACTACGAAAAAGTTAAATTAACTCCTTGCATTCCTGTCAAAGTAAACCGCTCCCAGGTCCCGTCAAGGCTGATTCAAATCCAAACACCCCATGTAGATAGTAACTAATACTTAGTTGCAGTTAAAGTTAAGAGTAACAAACAAGCAACTGTAGCAGAGGGAGTAGAAAAGTTAGTTAGGGGAATATAATAGTAAATATTAGAACATACAATCAAGCATCCAAATTAAATCAGCCACACAAAACTGCGCTGAACTCTGCTGCATTGAGTAATAATCAAATAAACATATAAAGTAAACCAATAAACCACTAATGAAGCAAAAGTGCCAAAAGGGAAACAGAGTATTCCGTTGGAGCGCCTTGAGCGAACATAATTCCTATTAAAATATAAACACAAAATAGCTGCGCTCACGTACTTATTTACTACTAAACTATATCAAAATGAGGAACGGAGAACGGGAGACTGTGCATACAATATCGTACAAAACCGAATAAGTAAATGTAAAAATTTACAATATATAATGTATATGAATTAATGTGTTCAGACACAGCATAATAGCGACACCTGATTCTTTTCTAGCACAACGCAACAGAAAGCGCAGCAATTCACATACGCCAAGGGTTAATTAATTAACACTAAACTTATTAAAATAATGATTTAATAGTACAATAGCCAATTTAATCCAGAGTGATTATATTCCATTTACAACTGTTGTTTTTGGGGATATCTGACAGGCTTAATAATAATACGAGTGTGTTCACTTTCTGAATTCTATCTGTATGTTTATTTCTATCTCCACTCTACACGTGCTTTCGCTTGCTTAGCTAGAGCGATAATAGACGGCTAGCTCTCTCTCTAGTCCCGCGCGCTCTGGGCCTTAAACTATACATGTAAGAGAGGGGGCGACTGTAGGGGGAGCAATCGTCCTGTACTCTTACACTCCCTCCCGATTGTTCCTCGCCTCTCTCCTTTTCTCAGTCTTATTTTTCCTTTGGCTTCGTTGCTCTTCAGTCTCATCTCTCCTTTGAGTTTGTTACTTGCCGTCTCGTTCTGTTGTGTTCTCACCTGTCTCTTCTTCTCATTGACCTCACCTCTCGCCGTTCAATTAGTCCTTGAAAATCAATGCTATGTTTAAATTTAGAGAATACTATTTATTATTTCACCTAATAGACTCTCGTGTGTGTTGAAAGGAAGAGATTTTGTGAATATATCTGCTATTTGTTCCTTAGACTTGACCCACTTAACTGTCAAGAGACCTTTGCTCACGCATTCTTTAACGTGATGTTGCTTTACTTCTACTAGGTGTCTCAACTTATTCCCACCATTTACTTCCACCGACATACTCGCCGCTCGGTTATCGCACCACAGGGTCATGGGCAGAAGTGGTTCCACCAGAATTTGCTTTAGAGAATTATAAGTGGACAGCATTTCTTTACTGCCTTCGCTCATAGCCACGTACTCCGCCTCACACGTGGATAATGACACGTGCGATTGTTTTTGGGTTCGCCATGCTATCGCATCTCCATACAGTTTAATCACATATCCACACGTTGTTTTAGAGCCTTTGCAGTCGGCAAAACTCGCATCTGTATAGCCTTCTATTCCGTTTGTTTTCCCTAGGTATCTCATTTTCAAGTTTCTAGTTCCACTAAGGTATCTGAACACTCGCTTTGCCATGGTCCAATCCTCCTCAGTCGGCTCTATTTGATGTCTGCTCAAGACGTTGACTGCATAGGAGATGTCTGGTCTTGTCGCACCGACCAGATAAAGTAGACTGCCGACTGCTTCTCTGAATGGGACGTTAATTGCTGTTTTCGCGGTTTCTGTCGTTGGCTCATCGGTATCTATTTCTCTTGCTCGCCTTGCTCTGTGAGCCACCTGATTTGTAATCATTGGAGTCCTCTGAGGATGCGCGTTTTCACACCCGAATCTCCTCAGGATTTTATTTATATAATTTTCCTGGCTCAGCTCGATTACTCTCTCCTTTCTGTTTCGCCTGATTGTAATTCCTAGAAATTCTTTTGGCTCACCCAGACTTGTCATTTCGAATTCAGCATTGAGTTGGAATTTCACTTTGTCAAGCTTCTTGTCATCATTACTCGCCATTAGTATGTCATCAACATAGAGGAGCAGGATCAGAAACCTATGCCCTTCTCTCCAAGTAAATAGGCAAGGTTCTAAATCCGTATTTTTCAATCCTAGCTTTAGCGCTACCTCAGTGAATCTTACATTCCAGCGTTTGGAACTTATTTTTAATCCATACAGGGCTCGTTCTACTTTGCACACCTTCTCTCTCCTTTCCCTTTCCGTATGGGTTGTTCCCTCTGGTATTTCCATATATATTTCCTCGTCTATGACACCATTTAGAAATGCTGTTTTTACGTCTAATTGACAAGTGTTCAAATCATATCTGTTTATTATCGCTAGTACCGCACGGACCAAAGGCAATCTGGATACCGGGGCGTAGGTTTCCTTTAGTTCATAGCAATTTCTGTCCTTGAAGCCCCTTATAACCAATCTCGCCTTGTATTTTATCTTTCCATCTGCGCTGTGCTTCAATTTGAAGACCCATTTTGAATCTATTATTGTTGCTTTCCGACCATCCTTTAATCTCTCTGGTCTGTCTGTCAGCCTCCAGACTCTGTTCCTTTCCATTGATCCCAGTTCTTCATTTACTGCCTGTTGCCAGTGTTCTCTCTCCCTTGTCGTCATGGCCTCTTTATAGTTAGTGGGGTCATTGTTTATTTCAGTTAGCAGAGCGTGGTATATTTCATCATTTTGCCTTGTCGTGCTGGTTCCTATGCTATCTTCTTGCGTCCACGTGAAGAACGCATCGGTTTTCAGATTCTCACCTATTTGCAAGCTTGAGAGGCTTGTAGCATTTATGGCTTTACTTTCTAATGAAGTTTCAGATTCCTTCTCTCCTTCATCTCGTTTTCTTTTCCGGGGTCTGCCCCTCTTGGTTTGTTCTCTCCCTCCGGTTTCAATGGTTCTGACTTCTCCCCTTGTTTCTCACCTCTCTCAAATTCTACAAACCATTTATCGTTACCCAGTTTTTCCTGTACTGGTGGTAATCCCTCAATGTCCGATTTAGTGTATCTGTCTCCGTAGATCACCTTTCCGTTGAACCTGGCATCTCTACTTTCATAATATCTTCCTTCTTCCGGCTTCAGAAATTGATATCCTGTGGGGGTGTATCCTACCAGGACAACTCTCCTTCCTTCACACCCAAATTTGGGGCCCCGTCTTCCTTTGGACTTTAATATATGCCAAACAACCGAACCTTTTGATCTGCCCTATCCTGACGCTATGGTGAGGGGCAAATCTCTCCAATGGTGTTATCATGTTGTTCGATTTGTGTGGTGTCCTGTTATACGCATATACAGCCGCTGTGACCGCTAGGTCCCACAGGTTCTCTGGCAGCTTTGCATCATACATGTATGATCTCACCTTGTTCTGCAACGTTTGGTTGAACCGTTCTGACACTTCATTGTGTTCTGGTGTGTCAAGGCAGGCCAGTTGTGATTCCGCACCCAGTTTCTTTAACACCTCAACTGTGTACCCGCCAGTGTATTCGGTTCCCTGATCGGTTCGCAGAAAACACATCTTCACATCTCTACCTAACAGATTTCGACCACTCCTCACGAACATTTCAAAACAATGCCCTGCCTCTGCTTTAGTTTTCATTGGATATGCCATTCCAAAACGCGAGTAGTCATCTATAAACACCGAAATGAACCTATATCCTTTCGGATGAGAGACTGGGGAGATCGGTCCCATGACGTCGGAGTGTATTATTTGTAATTGAGCCGTGGCTCTTCCTCTGACTGAGCTGAAAGGCAATTTATTAAATTTCGAAACTTGGCACACCTCACATTCTTTGATAGAGTCGTCAAAAATTGCCCCTTTGAGTTCTTTATTTTCCGGGAATTTTATTTGCAGGGCCTTGAGATATGCAACGGATGCATGGCCAAACCTGATATGCCACAACATGGCTCTGTTGTTCTTGAGAAACTTTTCGTACTCATTTGTGAACGGACTCTTCTTTTCTGAACTTTCTGCCGCTTGCATATCGTTGACACGGTGAATTTCCCGGTCCCATATAGTCACGTCAAAGTTCGAGTGTTCGTACGTGTTTCCGTTCTCGCCTACTCTCCCTCCGTTCTCTCCTGGTCCATTTGACGTCTCGTCGCCTTTCTCATCTGTTTTCAATTCGCTTATGTCCTCATCTAGGTTTAGTGTGCCCTCAAGCGTTGTGTTCTTTCCTTGTGGCTCATTTAATTTACTCTGCTGTCTATCCTTGATCGCCACGCTCCTTGTAATATATCTTCTGCCTTCAGTGTTTTCCTCAGCCAGATTTGCAATCCCACAAGTCGCACTGTGAGCAGTTCGGACTTTGGAAGTGTTTCCTTCTATTTCCAGCTCAATTACCCAGTAAGGACGCCTGTAGATACCTGTCAGAAACATTTCTTTGGATTTTGGATCAAATATGTTGATCTTTTGATCATCTAGATAGATGGCAAGCCCCATCTCTGCGAACTTCCGCAGCGACAGTAGGTTTTCCCTGAGAGTCTCAGCAAATATTACTTTGTCCATTTCTAGGGTTCTCCCGTTCTTCAGTCTCACCTCGATCTTCCCTGTTCCATTTACCTTTATATCCGATGTGTTGCTTTTATTGGCGCACTTTATCACACCATAATCGCTTTCGTCAAGGGTTTTAAGCATGATTTTAGTATTTGTTATGTGTTCTGTCGCCCCTGAGTCTGCCACAAATTCTGGGACGAACCTAACCCGAGTTTCAGCGTTACTGACTAACAAACTCGTCGGATTTCTGTTCGCAACTTTAACAGTACCTCTCTTTCCACTCGAGCTTACAAGATTTGGTTCATTGTGATCCTTTACCCTCACCCTTACTTTCATCCTTTGCTGGCTGGCTTCCACCTCTGTAGTGTAGGTTTTTGTACACTCGCCTTCCTTTACTTTTATGGATATTGAATCGACCCCTTTTCACTTCACTCGCCTTTGTGATTTCCCTTTTCCTTTTCAACACACCTCTTTGCCCGAGTCTCCCGTCCGAACCCCGAGTGCAGTTATTAAATTTGTAGCTAATATTGTACCTTGAGTTTCCTCTGGAGGGTCCTCCCTGCCTCACCGCACCTCTTGAGCCGCTGGGTTTGTGTGGGCAGTCCGGGGCCCTGTGGTTGCCTATCCTTTTACAATGATAGCACATTATGCCCTGGCCCCGGTTTGGGCACATCGCGCCTATGTGCCCATAGGCCTGGCATTCGTAACACCTCCGGCTGTCAACGAGGGCCTGATTGGCTGACCTCACCTCTGTGCTAGATCCGCTCATTTGTTCTCTCACCGCCTCATCCTTCATTACGAGGAGTTTCAAATCATTATATGAAGTTGTCGCACCTTTAGAATTTTTAACAAACTCGACAGTCTGAATGTTCGGGACCGAAATCATTACCGCGTTATAAAATGCGTCTCTCTTTTCCTCTTCGGATAAAAGGGTCGCCCCGGGGGAGTTTTCGTAGTTTCTTATTGTCTCTTCAAATTTATCGCAGAATTCAGCGGCTGTGGTCTTTCCTATGATGTACTGCATGCTATATAGCTGTTTCCTCACCGAATGTGACGTTACATTTACCTCGCTTCGTTTAGCTTCCTTCAATTTCTCAATAATGTCTATAGGATTTGTCAAGTTTGCTATTTTTGAGTAGTACGACTGTTCTAACCGATTGATTATCACATCCCTCGCCTTGAATCGTTGTTCCCTTAAAATGTTCTCGTCTATCCCGCCTACATTGTCCTTGTCGCTAATTACATGAAGTGGACCACAGGCTCTCAACTCTGAAGAGAGATAATCGTGAAAATGCTCAAATTTGATACTATTGTTCAGTTTATACTCTCGCCTCGTGGACCCACCGCTATTAACTATTTCTAATTTCAGAGTATCCTTGTTCTCTCTGTCCTTAAATTGGCTCACCTTTATGTTTCCTAAATTTTCAATTTCCGACCTAACTGCGTTTGCGATTTCTTTCTTGAAATCTGAACCCCCCACATCATTCAGACTGTCGTGCTTGCCAACGTTTGGCTTTGGATCTTTTTCCCTTGGGTCTCTCACCTCATACTGCTGCTCGCTGGATCTCTCACCGTGGTCCTTCCTTTTCTCTCCTTTATCCAGCTTGTTATATAAATCAGACAGCTGATTCACCATCTCATAGACCCGCTGGATCTGTGTCGCGTAGTCCTGTCTCACTGTTTGTCTGAGATCTCTCGATCTCTGACCTTCAGCAGATCTCTCCTCTCGCCACAGTACTAACTCCTTTCTCACCTCGCTCATCATTTCATTCGCGTTCGTGGCCACTGTTTCAATCTTCCTCACCGATTCCTGACATTGGCTCAGAGCCTGTGAGGAGATTTCACATAGCTTGTTGACTGACTGGATTAATTCAGTCGTCTTTTTCTCCTGCTGCTCGATTCTTACCAGCGCTGAAATGTTACTTATATTAGTTCTAGTCCTACTACTCGAGGGTTCGGGTTTGCTTTTGGTTTTCATAGTTTTTAGTCGTTTGGGGTCGGATCCAATTTTTACATCGTGTACAATTCGTAGACCCTGTTCGGGTTTACCTGCTTTTGTGGCAGCAATTGCTTCTCTTATCTCTCCTCTACTCCCCTTGCTCTCCTTGCTCTCCTTGCTCTCCGCTAACTCATCTATCCTCTCCTTTCCCTCGTCTTCTTCAATTTCCTTCTCACCGCTAGTGTCCACGTCTATCATTTTCCCACCTTTCCACTCGCCTTCGCACCCTTGAAAAGCAATTGTGCCAAGCTCTTGCTTCTTCCTTGGCATAGTTGTAGGTTTTCCGAATAGCAGCCTCTCTTCGTGCCAGGTGACTAGGCTATTCCACGCCTTTTCCTCCAGCATTCTTTTCCCTATGCGAAAATTATTTATTTCCATTTGTTTTGCCTAGGAGAATTTCCTGGAACCAGCCAACCGAACTTCAAGTGTCACTAGTTCCAGGAGGTGCGAATACAGAAGGGCCCGTACTACAAGGTCTCTCCCGCATTCGCCCCAGGCCCCCGGGGGCCTGTAGACCGAACAACAAGTCCACTTGCCCCCTTAGACCGTCAGGAGCTTCAGAATCTACTTTCATATATGTATATATATATTTATTTTATTGTAGTAAAAGTTTAATATATGGAAATGTATTATGGAAATTACTCCACATATATTGTTATTGTTAGGGAGTAATCTTCCTTAGTTGGTAGATCTAGGTATTTAGATTATAAGGTGTTCTATAGGTTGGCAACTCAGATATATATGATCTGGATAGATACGTTTTTTGTTTTTTAAAAATGAATATACCGCGCAAAAGGAAGTTTTGTGTTTTAGGATTGCAAATCCAAATGAATCGCGTGTCATACAAAATTTTGTTAAAATACATCAAGTTAGAAAACAATAAAGTACTATTTTGTGTTTATGAAGACGAACTGTAATAGCTTAATCTATATCAAGGTCCACGTGCTCCCAACAGTTATAATTTTTTCCCTTTCATTATTTTTATTTTTCAAAGTTTTGAATAGGTAAGACTATGCACACGTATATAGGGAGCATATGCTTGTGTGCGTATCTCACTGATATCATTTCTATGTGTTTGTAGCGACACCAGCGCTACCTAGAATTCCGGGGGTGAACTAATTTTCGTTACAGTATTAAATACGAGCGTTTGGAGGGCCTACGCTTGACGCGTCGAAAAGAGCGGACGTGTTTCGTGGTCGCTCCGTGGTTAGTTTCGCAACGCGGTGAAAAGCGGCTTATTTATTCGCGTTTTTTGTAAATTAGTATCTATTTCGTGGCCGGGAGTGCTGTTGTTGTGTTTTTTGATTAAATATTGTGTTAATTTATTGTTAAATATCGAAAATGTGATGTGCGTGTTACGCGGCATTTCCACGGTGTGTTTCCAGTATTCGTGGTGTTAATTATAAACATTGGACGTTATTTACGGATAATTTTGATTAATCGGGAACGTTCCACATTAAAATTCCGCATTTTTTGTGACTTTTCGCGATTAAATTAATAAAGACAACGGATGCAAGATCTGACAGGTTTTCAAAATGGCTGCTGTGATTGGACAAGGACAGTCGGCTTGCACGCGCAGCCGGGCCTTGGATAGAAGAGGACAGACGATGTGAAATTAGGTCAACGGTTCGTTGACGTATTAGTTTTTATTTATTTTATTTTATTTTATTCCTTTATTTTCATTTTGTGTCTGTTGCGCCGGTTTATTAAGTATATTAAGTGTTTTCGTGTGAAAGTGCATCGATATTTTTCGATATTTTCGATATTTTATAATTACTTGTGTTAATGATATTAATTTACTTTTATTATTGCTATCTCGTTGCATATATTTGACTGGCACGTTATTCCGGTGTCTTATTTAATTATTTAATTAATTATTTATTTATTAACGCAGTCGATTATCCGGTTTTCCGATGTTTGTCCGCGGTATAGTCCTTTCGCTTATTTATCTATCGGATTCTTATTTTCTTATCTTATTGTCATTATTTTACTGTGTTTATTTAACTTAATTTACATAATTTATTTCCCGGTTCGTTTCATTATTTCAATGTTTTATATTTTATTTTCCTTTGCCGTTTATAGTTTGTGACCCGCTTCGGGGGTTCACTCTATACAGAAGTCTACTCGTAAACTTATTTTTCACTATAACTTTGGCTCGTTGGGCGCCAGCCACGTCTCGTGGCGATCAGAATCGAAAGGGAAAAGGGGTGATCGTGGGTGTTTTACAGGGGCTGGGTCTCGGGGCACTTACGTCCGTACAATACTTCGCGGGGTAGCACGCAAGGAGGATTATTGTGGGAAGGGAAATCTCTAGGGTCGGAAAAGGGGTTCGCGGGAAAGTTCGCCTACGTTACGCGAATGAGGAAATAACCGTGGTCGGAAAATCAAAGGGGGGACTCGTCTTAACTTCGAACAATGCGCGGGCGGAGAAGATAGCCGTTGCCAAACTCACAATACAATCGTAATACGTTAAGGGACTCACCCAAATTTCCTCACACTCTCTCTACACTCTCTATACTCTTTATCGCTTTTCGCTTCTCAAATCGCTTTATACGCTCTTTCTCTACTCTCGCCTAGCCTCAGGCTCAATGACGGTTCGCCGTCGCTGCTGCGACGACGAAACCGTCGCAGGATGGTTTGGGGAGGGGGATGGGCCTAGGAAGGGGGCCTCTTCCGGCAACGGGATAGATCGATTATCGATCTTCGATACACCGGTGCTCAGAGTCGATGGGGCTGGCGGATATCCCGCGATGACGGGTGGGTTGAGGTCTTCGGGCTCGGCGACAGATGGCTCCGGGTGGACGTTTCGCATGATCTGGGCAGCTTCGTCTATTTCTTCGGAGTCCCACGTTGCTCCGTTTCCTTGGAGGACGGTTTAGGGGTCTGTCGCCGGCCTCGTAGCTCCTTCTGCGGGTGTTCCTTTTCGGTCTTCTGTCGCCTCCATCGGCCCGACACCGGTGAGCAGGGGGAAAGGGTTAGGTGAGGGAAGGGTTACGGGTGGTTTTGAGGTGGGAGTGTAACGTGGGGGAAAGCGCAGCGATTGTAACGGGGGGGCACGGGTGTCACCACGTTACAAGTTACATAATTATATCTTTTCCTATATCTCATAATATTTTGTATTATTTTCTTTTATTTTGTGTTATTTGTTCATTATTTATTCCTGCAGTACAATGGAGCAATGTGTCTTGATAATTTATGCAACTCGCGTTATATTGATAATTGTTTTTATCGTATTTCTATTTTGTCTCATTGACGCCTATTATATTTTATATTTTATATTTCATTTATTTATCTATTTACTTGCAATGGTATAGTCGTATAATGTATTTAATAAATATGCGCAACTTATGTATCGTTGCGTGATTTAATTAATTGATTAATTGATTGATTGATTGTTTAATTGTTCAATTTATTTATCGTTTTATCGTATTCACCGCCGGTATTTTACATTATTTACTATTTCGGCGGTTCAATATCGGTGGTATAGTGTATTAGTTTACGTGGTTTATATTGTAATATTGCTGTTTCGTCGTATGATTTATTACATATTTCGTATTTTATATTTTCATATTACATAATTCAATTTCAGTCCATAGTTCATATGTTATATTCATATTTTATTCATTATCCATCGCGGTTTATTTTACTTTATTTTATTTCAATTCATTTCATTTTATTCTATTTCATTTCATCTCATTTCATTTCATTTTATTTCATTTCATTTTGTATTAATCTATGTTATTTATTCTATCTTATTTTATCCTATTTTATATTATTTTATTTTATTCTATTCTATTTTATTTTATTTTATTTCATTCCATTTCATTTCCTATTAATCTATTTTATTTTATTCTACACTACTCTACTTTATTTTATCTTATTTCACCATCTATTCATATTCATATTTCATATTTCATGCTGTTCACGTCATTCACGGTACCGTATTTATTTTATTTTATTATTTTTATTTTAGTTGTTATGTGCATAGGTTTTGCACTTTTATCGCGTGTTTAATAGTTTACGTAGGCTATTTTGTCATTCTGTCATTGATTTATTAGTTTCATTTAGTTTCACTTATTATCGTATTTCCAGTTTAATTACCATTTTCATCGTTTCATTGTCAATGGTACATCGTGTCTTATGGTCTACGCGGTTTACATATTGTCGTGTTTCAGTTATTTGTTTCGCTGAATTTATCTTTATTTCGCGATTTATATTCAATTCCATGTTTATTCTAATATTCTGTGTTATTTTATTTAATTTTCCTTATTCGCGACGATGCAGCAATGCAATGTGTTTAAATGAATAAATTGGACAACTCGGGTTATGTGATTGATTATGTGTTTCCTTTAATTTCCTTTCTGTTTTCAGTTTCAGTTCTGTTTGTTTGTTTGTTCCAGCGATGTTTTAGTTTGTTTCAGCTATGTTTCAGTGTATTTCAGTGTTTTCATGGTGTTGTGCGATGAATGATTGATTGATATGTGTAGTTTATTTGTTGGCTTTGCTATTCTTTAATTCATTTCTTAATTTCTTTAATTTCTTTGATTTCTTTTCCTTTCCTTTTCTTTTATTCCTTTCATTACATTCTCAGTTTCATTTTCATTGTCATTTTCTTTTCTTAATTACTTAATAATATAACTGTTGTGCTCGCTTTCATTCAGTCATTATTTATTATTTATTCATTGTTATTCATTTGGATTGATTAAAGTAAAGGATTTGATTTATTTTATTTTCTTTCTGTACTGATAAGTGAAGTGATTTTGTTTATTCAATGCTTTGATGATATCTTACTTATTGATTTATTTATTCTTATACCATACGGTAGTTTGTTGTTTAATTGATCCACGCACCTTACATTTGATTTGATTTATTTGTCGCTTTTATTTATTATTTATTATCTTTATACATCATTCAGTTATGAATCTCTACCTTCTATTCGCATTTGTATGGACATAATCACTTACAATTTATAATCTATAATTTATAAAGCGGCGGTGATGGAGCCAATATTCGTGCTGTCATGTTTCTGTGTAATTTAATTCATTTTATTGTGTTTATTCTATTTTATTTTATATGACAGTACATTGTGTTAGTTATGTTTGGCTACAATATTACACTTTACATTTTCTTTATTTTCTCTATTTCTCAATTTCTTAATTTCTATAATTGTTGTGCTCGCATTCATAATTCATAAATTTGTCACGTAGACAGACCGTTTTTATCAAACGTGTCTCCTTTCAAATAAGCTTAAACATCTGGAAAGGAAAACTCTCGGGCAAACCGACCATTTACTCTCGTAATAAACAGAAGGCCCACCGATAGCAGAACCAAACACTTGGGAAAGCAATGGGTCCGCCGTAATCAAATAGCAGATGCAACCACTCTAAACTGTCGCAGAGGCAGGTGGACCCAGCCTGATCACTCGAATAGTAACCAGACCACCCTTCTTAATTAGTATATAAACCCGTTCGTACCAACGATCGGGGGCAGTACCAGAGTTCATCTCGTGTCGAGCACGTCGTGTACGGTAGTGAGTTGGTTACTATTAGTGAGATCGGGTTGAAGTCCCCTTCGAGCAACATTCACCTTATAGAATCCGCGAGTCGTGTTTCTATTTGGCATTACAATTAACCACACACAACACCCCCGCATTGCCAGTGCGTGAACACCGAGCATAGTGGAAATAGGTAATATATCACATTATACACCTATATTCGCGACAACAACATCTGTAATAGACCAAGATTGTAGAATATATACATTGCTGTGTCAAACCCACATTAGCATTCTCCTTTAAACCCAGTGAAACCTTGTGACAGTTCCTACCACAATACAATCTTACCGCTCGGGTTGTATTGATAATAAAATAAGTTACGCGGCCGCCAATCAAAAAGCCTCTGATAGCCACGCGCGCTGCCAAGCCGTCGGCCACGTAACAGAACTGGTGACAGCGATGGGATATAGTCACATAGATCATTTTCACTGGCATAATTACTTTCGTGGAATTTGACACACGGCTATTACTTTGTTGAACAACGATTGTATACTAGTTTTCCTAGTCACATTCTTTAACCAACAAATTCATTCAACATGGCGAATGAACAAGCCAATATTTCTTCAGCCGATCTTATGAACTTAACAGTTTCGATCGCAAATTCTATGACACTTTTGACACAAAGATCCTGCATACAAAATGTTGCGTTAACAATACCAACATTTGATGGTGAGAATCCACCTTTATCACGTTTTGCACAACTGGTAGAAGATGGATTGACCTTGATTCCTGAGGGAACAAAAATGGAATACCTTACAATTATTTTAACTAAACTCACCGGTCCGGCGCGAAGAAGTACTTTAGAACATCAATTCACTTCGGTATCCGCGTTGATCAAGCATTTGAAGAGAAGATTTGGACCAGGAAAGAGCTTATCGCAATTTCAAACAGAAATTGCCAGGCTTCAAATTAGGGAATACGAAAGTTTGAGAAACTACATCGATAGAACAAGCCATCTTGTTTATTGTACAAGAGGAGCGATTAAAGAGAAATATCCTAGACATTCAGAGGAAAATATTAAACAAATGGAAATGGATATTTTAGAAAATTTCCTAGATGGATTACCAGACCGCATCTCTTTTAAGGTATCAGCACAAAATAGAGACATTAAAAACTTAGAGGAAGCTTTTGACGCTGTGCTAGAGGTAGACAGGAAATTAAGAAGTCGTCGTGATTTGGCACGAAACACATCACCAGGAGGCTGGAACAACAGGGATCACCACAGCAACGAACGTCGAAATGAAATTTCATACCCTCAATCTCCAACACGACACGATCGATATAGAGATCGACAGAGGAGACCATCTAACTCTGAAGACGAGAGAGAAGGACGACCACGTACATCAGCATGGACTGTGCGATCCAGGAATCAATCGAATTCACCTTCTTATCGTTCAAATTCACCACGCACAGATCAAGATGAAAAACGGTTTACAGTTTTAAAACGCAGTGAAAAGGATGATACTTCGCAGCTATATTGTTGGCGATGTGATACCCAAGGACACGATGAAAAACGTTGTAGGAGGAATTCGCAAAATTTCAGACAGCGATCATACTCTCGAAATTCTTCAGTCGAATCAAACAAGTCTTTAAACTCAGAAAACGCTCAACGGAAAGGCGAGGCGGTGAGCGATCTGCAAAGACCTCGCCAAAAGATAGTCAGATTCACGGGAGAATCCTCATCAAGGAAACCCCAGCACCAAGAATAAAAATCAAAGTTCCGGAATTAGAATTAGAAACAGCTGAATTTTTAATTGACGGTGGCGCGGCAGTTAACTTAATAGTGCGCGATGTTCTCGGAGATCAAGCCAAACGTATCACTAAAGAAGTTATTGAAATCACAGGACTTACAAAATCACCTATTTATAGCATAGGAACCACAATTCTTCACATTCACGGTAAGCCTGCATTATTTTACGTAGTAGAGAACCTTGCAATAGAAGCCGATGGAATTATAGGCAGCCCATTTTTATTACAAGAAGAAGCAGAAATTTCATATTATCATGGAACACTAGTATTGAAAGATAAACCTATTCGACCACTTCGTTTTTCAAATTACCGAGATTTAGCTTAGCAGAAAAATCCGAAATCGACTAAACACCGTATCGAAGCTCGAACAACAAAACAAATTGCAATTCACATAGCTAATCCAAATATTAAAGAGGGATACTTACCGCGACTCAAAACATCAGAAAATATATACATTGGCGAAGCAGCAGTATATAATCGTGACGGCATTTGTTACGCGTTAGCAACGAATACCGGAGAAGACGATGTAGACATCGAAATTGAACCTCAATACATTCATCCTTACGATATTTACGACTCGTCGGACGACGACCCAATTTCTTCATATATGACCGAAAACACACCAGAAAATAGAGCAACACGAATTAGAAATCTTTTAAGAACCGATCATCTCAATGCAGAAGAACGTAAACATGTATTCAACATCGTCGACGAATTTTCAGACAGATTTTACTTGCCTGGAGACAAACTAGGAGAAGTACCGAATTTTTACCATTCAATTCATACAACAGATGACGTACCGATTAATACAAGACAATACCGATATCCACCAGTACACCAAGACGAAATACAACGTCAAGTAAAGGCTCTGTTATTACAAGGAGTCATACAGCCATCTAGTTCACCATATAATTCTCCGTTATGGATTGTACCAAAGAAACCAGACGCTAAGGGCAATAAGCGTTGGCGTATGGTAATCGATTTCCGAGCCTTAAACGAAAAGACTTTGAGTGATAAATTTCCTTTGCCGAATATCACCGAAATTCTAGATAAATTGGGAGGAGCAAAATATTTCACAATTTTTGATATAGCAAATGGATTTCATCAAGTTCAAATGGATCCTAAGGATTGTCCGAAAACAGCATTCACAACACCGGATGGGCATTTTGAATTTGTACGCATGCCATTTGGTTTAAAAAATGCACCACCGACATTTCAACGCTTAATGAATCAAGTTATATCTGGTCTAGAGAACGCTCATGTATTCATAGACGATATGGTTGTTTTCTCTTCATCACTACGAGAACATGAAATAAAAGTAAAAAAATTACTCAATCGGCTCAGAGAATTTGGACTTACACTGCAGATTGATAAATGCGAATTCTTACGTAAGGAGGTTACTTATTTAGGACACATTTTAACAGAAAATGGTGTTAAGCCAGATCCTCGTAAATTACAAGCTGTAAAAGAATTTCCCATTCCTAAAACACAGAAAAATGTCCAGCAGTTCTTGGGACTGACAGGATATTATCGCCGTTTCATAAAAGATTATTCTATTAAATCAAAACCATTAGTTCAATTATTAGGTAAAGGAATTTGTTTTAAGTGGACCGAAGACCAGCAAAAAAGTTTTGAAAATTTACGCGACGAACTCTGTACACAACCAATTTTACAATATCCGGATTTTAATCGACCGTTCATTGTTACCACTGACGCATCAGATTACGCAATTGGAGCTGTACTTAGTCAAGGAGAAATAGGAAACGATCTACCAATTGCCTACGCATCTCGTACCTTAAATAAAGCCGAAAGGAATTATTCTGCTACAGAAAAGGAATGTCTTGCAATGGTTTACGCAGTACAATATTTCAGACCGTATCTTTATGGAACAAAATTCACACTCGTCACAGATCACCGACCGTTAGTCTGGTTACACTCTGTCAAGGATCCGACATCACGACTTATGAAGTGGAGACTCAGACTCTTAGAGTACGAATATCAGGTTATCCATAAAGCAGGAAAGACGAACAAGAACGCAGACGCATTATCACGTAACCCAGTACCATCTTGCTTACCACTTATACCCCGAGATCCTCAAGACCCCGATTACAAGCACATAGGACAGAAACCAGAAATCGACACGGATTCCATAGGATTTCGTGTGCGGCAACTACAAAGGGACAGGGAAAGGAGACCGAAATATCAAGAGGAAAACACTAGCTCTGATGAAGAACCAGCCCGTGGGAAGGTTCAACATTCTCCAATAGCAGATAGACCGAGAGTCTTACCTAACTTATCGCACGAGATAAGTATGCCAGATGAACACATGGAAACAATAAACTTTCATCCGCAAGCAAATTCTACTAAAATCACATCGACAGAAGAAGACGTAAACTTGATTTCATTCGAAGAACCATCAGAAAATACCATTACGGAAAACACGATAATCGCAAACCCGCAACAGGATTTACTTAACCATACACCATTATCACTTGTAACAAATGAGGGAATTTTACAACCACAACCTGTTAACGAAACAATAGGAACGGCAATCCAGCAACCACAGGAAAACTTTGACCGTACCGTTGACCCTTATCCGTTCACACTTCTTGACACAGACACTCTTTCCACGGAGGGAGATGACCTGCGAAGAAAAGTGCAACCTTCACAGACACTTGAGGTTATTATCTCTCCAAACACCCTGACCACCGAGGAAGGTCATTACGCACATTTCATACCTGCGGACTGTAAATTGGTAACCCCCATTGGAAAACTGTTACTGGACACAGAAGCAATAGATTTACAACAGCTCATGTCAAAGAAACCGCAGAAAGGAGACGTAATAGAATCAGCAAATGGCTCATACAAAGTTTACAGTATAATAATATCAGATAATTTTTACGACACCATTAAAAGTGAAGATATACTAAACGGACTACAAACACTGAAACAGCATTTAGATCAAAATCCAATTAAATCATTTAGAATATCAGCAGTCGGAGATTTTCATAAATTACCAACCAATGAATTAACTAAATTAATAAAGGACGTTTTCAACGGTACAACACAGAAAATCATCATATGCAATTGTTCAACGATTACACCATCAGAAGAAGATCGATTACAAATAATTCGCGAAGCTCACGACAGTTTGATAGGAGGACATAAAGGAGTCACAAAAACATATAAACGCATCAGAGCGAAATATCAATGGCCAGAAATGCACAACGAAATACGAAATTATATCAGGAAATGTCCAAGCTGTCAAGAAGAGAAATTAGTTAGAGCAAAAACTCATCAACCAATGTTAATTACCGATACCCCGATAGAACCATTTGATAAAGTTGCTTTAGACACCGTAGGACCTTTACCTTTAACGCCTAGCGGAAATAAATACATTCTCACAATGCAAGATTGTTTAACGAAATATTGTATAGCAGTAGCAATACCAAACATTAGAGCAGCCACAATAGCAGACGCTTTCGCGAGACATTTTATTGCCATATATGGAACACCACGAGCAATATTAACAGACAAGGGAACTAGTTTTATCGGAAGCTTAATGAAAAATCTTTCAGAAATATTCAAAATCAAACAAATCACAACTTCTGGATACAGACCACAAACTAATGGATCACTAGAACGAAGTCATATAGTACTAACAGAATATCTTAAACATTACATGAATAATTATGAAGATTGGGACCTATTAATACCATTTGCCATGTTTTCTTATAATACTTCCGTACATGAAGCAACAAATTTCTCTCCATATGAATTAATATTTGGAAAACCAGCCCGTGAACCAAGTTCGTTTCCAACTGGCGAAAGGTTAAAATCATATGGCGACTATTTAACAGAATTAATAACTCATACTATAAAAATCCGCAACATAGCAGCCGATAATTTGATTGCCTCCAAGCACCGTTCGAAGAAGTACTATGATAAACATTCCCGACCGGTAGAATTCAATGTAGGCGATTATGCTTATGTATTGCTAGAACCACGAATTAGTAAATTTGATCCACATTATGTAGGGCCATATGAGATCATTAATGTAACAGATATGAACAACATTGTATTGCGAACACCTGACAAAACGATAACAAAACACCAAGATAAATTAAAACACGCTTATTTTCCATCCACAGCGGAAAAAACGGAAATAACGGGAAATCATGATTCCGGCACAACTACTTCTGATACCTCTGGCTCTGGTTATGAGTCAGACAGCGATTAAAGGCGGTTCAAAGGTGTTACCACTGGCGCAATCAACGGGTTTGTTTTACGATAAATTGTCAGACATACGGACATATCAATCGCAATGGCGATTGGTCACGTCATTGGATGTTGATAAATACCTTGCACATGCACCACCAGTAGAACAGATAATTCTGGCCATGAACCAACTTTGCAAAAAACACGGTTTAGAAACTTGCCTCAGCATGGAAGTAGGACCACGGTTACTTAAAAGAGAAGAAAACACTATGCAGTATAGGAATCTAATACAAACAGCAATAGGAAACGATGCCTTTCCAAAAAGACGACCATTACGACGCAATGCACCATTTGGATTTATTGGCACAATCAACAAAGCATTATTTGGAACCTTAACTCAAGAAGACGCAGATTTTTACAACCAGGAATTGAATAAGTTATATAAAAATCAACTTGAAATAACGGAACTCAACTCGAAGCAAATACACATTGTGAAAGGGGAGTTTTCAGCCATACATGAAAGATTAGTAAATTTAACACAGGTTACATCTGAACTGATAAAAGCTGCATCAGAACATTCGCGATTCTTAGAAGAAACTAGGTCCGAAATTGCCCAACTCCGTTTTGAAACAGCTATAAGGGATACCATTTTAGAATTAGAAAGAGGATTGGACGACTACAGCACTAATTTACTATTATTAATAGACGCAATATTATTAGCGAAACAAGGAATAATGCATCCTGCCGTTTTTTCACCACAGCAATTATTGAAGTCAGCATTAAAGATCAAACAATCTTTAACTTATGAATTTCCATTATCTCCAGAAGAATTATTAACTGAACAAATCGAGAAACTAACGAAATTAAATGTAGTATTTGCAAAAGGCAGAGTATTATTTGAACTCACCATACCGCTTTTGGAACAAAAGGTGTTCAATTTGTATAAAATCTATCCTTGTCCATCAAAGCAGGTTATTAAAGAAAAAGAAGTAGTTACGTACATACAACCACAAATTTCATACATTGCAGTCACTACAGATGAGCAGCAATACTTTTTACCTACCGAGGAATATCTTGGAGTTTGCCGAGTTCATAATAATCAGTTAATAGGACCATCAACATTACCATTATATCAGGTAGAAGGTCATGCAACCTGCGAATCTACCTTGCTTTTGAACCCATCCGCCATAAACTGGGAAACCTGCGATGTAAGGGTAACCACCAAGCTTCAACCATTCTGGCAAGTGTTAAGCGCTCCTGCTACCTGGTTTTTCTTTATGCCAACCCATAAAAAGGCCCAGGTATATTGTAAAGGGGAAAAACCAACTATAGCAAACATTTACAATACTGGAATTTTCAACCTCGAACCGGGATGTAGAGCCACAGTAAATGCGATGCAATTAAAAGCAATGGACACAATAGTAACCATGGAAAATATTATACATTACCCATCAGCGTCATACAATTTATCAGTAATCATTCCGAAAATAACAGAACATCACCTATCAGTTTTAGAAACCAATTACACTAATACAGATCAAGTAATCACAAATTGGAAGAACCTTCCGACAGCACCAAACCTAGAGGAATTGGAGCATCGGGCGAAAGAATTGGAACTTCAAGAAATTTCCACAAATCGTATAAAAATATCAACATTTTCCTCGTTTGGAGTAGTATCTTTGATCCTACTATTAATAATTGGGACAATAATAAAAAGTAATATACACAAAATCATTAATAAACTAAATCCTTTGGACAAACCGAACGAAATTGAATTGCAACTGGAAGAAATACCTAAAAACTCAGAAGAATCAAATTCAAATAATATAAATTTACCAAGGGAAAAATCTTCAGCACCTAGACCAAGTGCCACAATATTCTAAGGGGCCGTAGCCACTCCTACACATCCCTCCTCTAAGAGTCGAAATAAGAGTGGGGTAAGATAAGGGTTTTCAGACTATATAAGCAGTTCTCGGCACCATAGTCTCATCAGTGGACATCCTCAAGAAAATGAACACCATCAAAAATATAGTTTTGAGCAGTTCTGTTCGGATCGGAATTGTCCACGTGGACAATCCGGTAGAATTCTGGGCGCAGGTGGACGACGGTCGGGAAGAAGCTAGGCGACTGTACCGGGACCTGTATCGGTACATGAGCGACCGCGGCCACCTCCACTTTCCAAACCAGGGAAGACTGACCACTGGACGTCTGGTGGCGTACAGAAGTAAAGAAGGTACCTGGGTCCGAGGAGAAGTTCAACACCTGGTGGACGGCCAGTTCGAGGTGGCTCTTCGTGACCACGGCAAGGTGGTAAGGGCACCGGTCGACCAACTTCGGACCTTGCCGCCACGCTTTCAAAATCTACCGTGGCAGGCCTTCAAGGTACGGGTACGGGGTATCCGCCCTGTATGCAGGACCTGGAAGATAGAGCAGGCCAAGAGGGTGTTGGAAGGAAGGAGGGGTCTGCTAACCAACATCAGAGGCGAGGGTGAGGTCGTGGCAGATGTAGCCCTCGATCGTCTACCAGGACAACCACCATTCAACGTGGCGGAGGCGTGGTTGGGCATGAGATACGCGGTTCCAGGCCGGGTATAAAAGCAGACCACAACACCATTCTTCCAAAACACTTATCTGAGCGGACCGAAATGTGCTACATCAGGGAACAACCAACTGAGAGGGACACCAGTCGCATCGAGCTGCTGATGAACTTGACGGCCCGCCTGTGCATGCGCAGCACTTGCTACAGATTAGACGTTGGCATTGTCTGTATGCAGTGTGCTCTCGAAGCAGCCCTTGGAGCAGCAAGGATCTATGACATGGTGGAGGTACACTATCCACTACCAACGGCATATCCGCCTGGGGCCTGCGATATTTGCAGCGCGCCCCTGATGGAGTTGCAGGCCGCCTACCACTGCGAGGAGTGTATTGCCGCCATCATCATGGAAATGGAATACCAAAGAGCAAACCAACCCATACCACCGCCTGCAATAGTACCAACCTGGTACACCGAGAGACAAATCCGATCGAGGCAGCCTGGACCCAGACGTACGCTTCGACTTCATACCGCAGTTAGCAGCATCACCAACCATCACACGTAGCGATAAGTACACACACATCACACATAACACCCGACATATTGCATTACAACACCAAAACTTCAACACATTCTAGTGAGTGTTTTCCTTTCCAATTGAAAGCATCACGATTACCGCGATGTTTCATCTAAGGGGGGAGGTGTCACGTAGACAGACCGTTTTTATCAAACGTGTCTCCTTTCAAATAAGCTTAAACATCTGGAAAGGAAAACTCTCGGGCAAACCGACCATTTACTCTCGTAATAAACAGAAGGCCCACCGATAGCAGAACCAAACACTTGGGAAAGCAATGGGTCCGCCGTAATCAAATAGCAGATGCAACCACTCTAAACTGTCGCAGAGGCAGGTGGACCCAGCCTGATCACTCGAATAGTAACCAGACCACCCTTCTTAATTAGTATATAAACCCGTTCGTACCAACGATCGGGGGCAGTACCAGAGTTCATCTCGTGTCGAGCACGTCGTGTACGGTAGTGAGTTGGTTACTATTAGTGAGATCGGGTTGAAGTCCCCTTCGAGCAACATTCACCTTATAGAATCCGCGAGTCGTGTTTCTATTTGGCATTACAATTAACCACACACAACACCCCCGCATTGCCAGTGCGTGAACACCGAGCATAGTGGAAATAGGTAATATATCACATTATACACCTATATTCGCGACAACAACATCTGTAATAGACCAAGATTGTAGAATATATACATTGCTGTGTCAAACCCACATTAGCATTCTCCTTTAAACCCAGTGAAACCTTGTGACAGTTCCTACCACAATACAATCTTACCGCTCGGGTTGTATTGATAATAAAATAAGTTACGCGGCCGCCAATCAAAAAGCCTCTGATAGCCACGCGCGCTGCCAAGCCGTCGGCCACGTAACAAATTATTCATTTATTCATTCATTCTTTATTCATTGCTTATTCATTTTGATTGAGAGTTAAGGGATTTGATTTATTTTATTCTAATTTTATTCTTTCCTCTGTGCTGGCAAGTGATTTTGTCTATTCAAATGCATCGATGGTGCGTGGTTTCTGTTATTAGTTTATCTTTTAAATATCATTTTTTTATCCGACTTCGAAAAGGAGGAGAAGACTCAATTCGATGTGTATGTATTTTTTTTTATTTTTTTTTTTTATGTATGTTCACCGATTACGCCGAGACGGATGGACCAATCGGAACGAAACCTTTTGCATCTGGTAGAGTAAGTCTCCCGATTGGTCCCGTTAAAAAAACATTTTGCATTTTTTCATTGTTAACGATTTTTTTACAAAAAACGTAATGCTTGCCTTATATTTTTCACCGATTACCGCGAGACGGACGGACCAATCGAATAAAAAATTTTGTATCTTGTCGAGTATATTTCCCGAGTGGTCTCGCAAAAAAATGTTTGTATTTTTTCATTCCTAACGACTTATGTCGCAAAAAACGTAATACTTCATTTATGTCTTCTGGCGTTTATGCTGCAGGGAATGTGTCGATTGTGATGAAAACTTTCACATTTAGTAGGAGGTATATCCGCGATGATCTCACTTGCAAAAATTTATTGAATTTGTTAATAACTACTATTATAGCAAAAAATCTACGCCTTCATGTTACTCTGCCAGGAATGTATCGTTCGCGATGAAACCTTTCATATTTGGTAGGAATTACTGGGTGTCAGGCGACTACCTCGACAGCCGTAGAGGGATGATTGCTAAGGGGATTCTAAACAACTTTCTCCTTTGCCAAATTGTTGGTTAAGGTTTGGTTTGCGAGTTAATAACAAAAAACACCGACCAATCCGAGCGCGGATAGAGCGCAGTCCCAGGGACTGCAGTGTCGGGTACGAAAACCGGGCCTGACGTTGGTCGCGAACGAACGGCTTGGCACCCCGTTGGCATAACACAATAAAAAAACTGAACTGGTAGAACATTTTTAGTCGCTGTTTAGAATGAATATGGAACCTAATCTCTTATTGCCTGTCATAATGTAAAAAAGGAAATTCTTAGGATTTTAAACAACAAATAAAAATGTTTGAAGTGGTATAATTAATAAACGTTTGAATTAAAGGCTACACTAATGATGCAAAATTTGAAAACAATTTAAATGAAACTTACCCATTCGTTTCTAAATTAACTTGCTACGCTGAAAGCAAATAATTCCCACTAGATCACTGTGTCGATTCTGGACATTCGATGAGCAAACACCTCGCCCATTATTCACACCTAAGTGCAATAAATGAGGGGAGTTCACTGGCCCGATCATGAAAATTGCTGTTCTACCGAACGTGTTTCCTCGATTCCCAGTGACAATTATCTGCTTTCAGCGTAGTAGGTTAATTTACGAACGAATGCGAAAGTTTCATTTATATTGTTTTCAAATTTTTCATCATTAACGTGGCTTCCAATTCAAACGTTTATTAATTATTCCATTTCAATCATTTTCATTTGTTGTTTAGAATGCTTAGAATTGCATTTTTTACATTATGATAGGCGACAAGAGATTAGGTTCCGTATTCATTTTAAACAACGACTAAAAATGTTCTACCTGTCCAATTTTTTATTGTGCTATGCCAACGGGGTGCCGAGCCGTTCGTTTGCGACCTACGTCAGGCCCGGTTTTCATAGCCGAAATTGCAGTCCCTGAGCCCGCGCGCTGTACGCGCTCGGATTGGTCGGTGTTTTTTGTTAATAACTAGAAAAACAAGCCATAACCAACATTTTGGAAAAGGAAAAAGTTGTTTAGAATCACCTTAGCAATCATCCCTCTTCGGCTGTCCTAAAAATACTACAGGTTCCACTAAAAAGTGTGAAATAAAATAATTTTTAACAAAAAACAAATCCGACTTCGAAATGCACTAAAAGGTGTCAAATAATTTCTATTTCATTTATACCAATATTCCATAGCTATTAATAATATCTACTTAATCGTTAAATAGGATACCAAATACATTTCAGAGTTTTCGGATGCGGCGCAAAATTAAAAATACTCGAACAAACGATGCTGCCAATAACGATTTGATTGCGGTATGGCAAACTTGGTAATTAATAAATCGTAAGAGAAAAATTATAGATCCGGCTGAAAACATTTGTAATTGTAACGACTGTATGAGAAATTAGCAGCCCTCCTGATGTACATGCACTATACTGCAGTTCACAAGAGACCATACTTAACTCGCGCCGCTCACTAGGTCTAGAGAGATTTTTAATAACGTGTGTTATTCCCCTCTACAGCTTGCTTCTTATTATACTTTGCGACCATGTAAATGGCGGGCAGAAATATATGACATACGATAATTGATAACCGGTGATGATATTGTAAAGTTTCACGATACAATGAAATTCCTATTATTTGTCGCAAGAAAAAAATGATCTGAACGCAAAGTAAGAAGCAAGCTGTAAAGGGGAATCACGCGCACTATTAAAAATCTCCCTAGACCACAGTAGGTCACTAGTTGCGCGAGTTAAGTGCGGTCACTCGTGAACTGCAGTAGAGTTAATTCGCAATGGGTTTGTTGATTCCCGTTGAATATTATTTACTTGAAATTATCAAATGGGTGATTTATCATAGGTTGCCGACGTCCGAGTTAGGATCTTCTTAGTAGAGGAAAAGTTTTTAATTTTGCGTCGCCTCCGAAAACTGAAATGTATTTGGTATCCTATTTAACGATTAAGTAGATATTATTAATAGCTATGGAATATTGGTGTAAAGGCTTGGAAAGAGTTGAGTGCACTTTCACGACTTGATGCACAATCGGTCGATGGTTCACGGCTAAGCAAGGACTTGGTCGTCGAGGCGGAATTAAGCGAACAAACGTACTTGCTAAATTCATGTATTTAAATAAAGTCACTTAACAAGCGCGTCAATTATTTAATCGTTTCTAACACAAACACAGATGGAAATTACTTTCCAGTGGTAAAGCGGTGTTGGTTTCTCGGAACACGAACACGAGAATCTTTTAATTTTAGGATGGTAACGGTTTTTTGAATTCAATCGGCTCGGTTTAGATGCTTACATTTTGGTGGCTTTCGCACGAATAACGAAAGTTATCCGGAACGATCCAGAATCGAAATCACGGCGCGAGTATCGCTTATCGACCTGGTGCGTAATTGGGCTTCGATAATTCGAACTAGCGCCGAGACAGTTACCGACGGAGTGAGACGCGTACAATTGGTATAAATGAAATAGAAATTATTTGACACTTTTTAGTGCATTTCGAAGTCGGATTTGTTTTTTGTTAAAAATTATTTTATAAGTATCTTGCTTTGACTTATTATTCTTCTTATATTACACACTAGTATGGTGTTTAATTGAACCACGCAGCCTGCATTTGATTTGATTTATTTGTCGCTTTTATTTATTATCTTTATGCATCATTCTGTTGTCAATTTCTACTTCTATTCGCATTTGTATGGACATAATTACTTATAATCACTTACAATTTATGATCTATAATTTATAAAGTAGTGGTGATGGAGCCAACAACCGTGCTGTCATGTTTCAGTGGAATTTAATTCATTTTATGGTGTTTATTCTATTTATTTTATTTTATATGACAGTGCATTGTGTTGGTTATGTTTGGTTACAACTTTTCATTTTCATTATTTTCTTTATTTTCTCAATTTCTTAATTTCTACAACTGTTGTGCTCGCATTCATTATTCATTCATTATTCATTATTTATTCATTTATTCATTTATTCATTTATTCATTTATTCATTTATTCATTCATTCTTTATTCATTGCTTATTCATTTTGATTAGAGTTAAAGGATTTGATTTATTTTATTCTAATTTTATTCTTTCCTCTGTGCTGACAAGTGATTTTGTCTATTCAAATGCATTGATGGTGCGTGGTTTCTGTTATTAGTTCATCTTTTAAATATCATTTTAAATATCTTGCTTTGACTTATTATTCTTCTTATATTATACTGTAGTATGGGGTTTAATTGAACCATGCAGCCTGCATTTGATTTGATTTATTTGTCGCTTTTATTTATTATCTTTATACATTATTCGGTTGTCAATTTCTACTTCTATTTGCATTTGTATGGGCATAATCACTTACAATTTATAATCTATAATTTATAAAGTAGTGGGGATGGAGTCAATAATGTTTACGGTTATATTTAATTAGAGTATAACTCACTGGTTGTATTTATTTTATCTTATTTTACATTATCTTACATTATGCTACATTATGCCGGTTATGTCTGTTAAGTGTTACACACTTTACATTTTCTGTAGTTCCTCAATTTGTGAATATCTTTAGCTGTTTCACTTGCATT